ATAAGAGACAGCTCCTACCCCAGCGGGGGCTGAAGCTGTTCCACTCGGCTAAGAAAAGAAAAAGTCCGATTACTGGAGCCGGCTGAAATGAAAGAGGGAGAGGAGGGAAAGCGGGGGGAGAGGCTGGAGCCACCCAGCCGCGAGCAGGTATGCAGAGACACAAAGAGCTGCCGCTGGCTTTTGCCCATTAAAAACCAACCCCAAGGGGACAAAAATGAGGGGGGGAAATAAAAGAAAGTACTTTTCCAGCCCTCCCTCTGTTCGATCCCCTGCCAACGCTCGGTGACATCCTGTCCCCGATCTGCTTTTATTTCCCCTTAAATTTCCCCGTCGAGGGAGCGAGAGGACCCACGGGGCTCCTTGGGCGACAGCTCTTACTCGGGTGGGCGGCTGTCGGGCCCCAGCGCGCGCTGCAGGGAGATGCGGTCGCTGGCGAAGGCGTTGAAGCAATGCTTCTCATAACCTCGCTCCTTCTCCTTCGTCTCCTCCGGTGTCCATCGATCCTTCTTGAAGGCTTTGCCGTCGGCTCCGGGGCTGGCGGGGTCTTGGGGGGGTCTCTCCATCAGGGGCCGGAGCTCGGCTGCTGTGTAGACGCCGGGCAGGCAGGAGCGAGCACCGGGGGGTGGTTCCTCCTGCCGGACCGGAGCCCTGATCTGCAGCTTCGGCATCGAGTCTCGGATGTTGTTGACCGCCCCCAGCATCAGGTCAAGGACTTGGTCCTTCCCCTGAACGATGTTCTTCAACCAGGGCTCCTCACTCCGGTCCTTGTTCCCCACGTCCTTCTGCAGGATGAAGAGGAAGATGACAAAAACGGTGCCTGCCAAAGCCACCTTCAAGGGGCTGTAGCGTCTCCGGAAAAGCCTCATTTTTTTTTTTTTCCTGTGTGGTTTCCGGAGGGTCCTCCCTGCGGTGATGGGTGTTTCAGGATTGTGGGGTCTCAGGGTGCTCCATGATGATCTGCTCTGCTCCACTAACCTGCAGAGAAGAAGAAACACCCACAGGTTAATTCACAGACTGGACACACCCGAAGTGCATCCCCTTGATATTAACATATTAATAAAATATTCATTATATATTAATATAAAGTTCACTTCCTGCAAGGGGGAAGTGAGACCTGGAAAATTCACTCCTCCTGTGGCCCTTTCAGCCCATAAATCCATGTTAAAAATAAAACACCAGGAAAAAAGCAAGGTTCGAAAAATGCCACAAGATGTGCTGGATCCGGCCACCACGAGCGCGGGACGTCCCAGGCAGCTTCTCCTGCGACCCAGTCAGTTGCTGCTGTTGCAACACCCCCCCAGACCTCCCCGTGCGCGCCGGGAGCAGCGTAACGCAGCTCAAAGCAAGCTGCAAAATTTGCCGAAACATCTTTGGCCGCGTGGAAAAAGCCTTTCCCCGTTTTTTTTTTTTTTTTCCTGCCTGCAGCGTCACTGGGAAGGAAAACACATGCAAGACCCCGCAGCGCTTTGGTTTTGGCTGAACTGGAGCAGCAGATTCAGTGTCCGGTGCCCAGCCCAGCGCGGCAGCCACCGAGAGCTCAGCACCGGCGGCAAAGCCTCCGCCAGGACCCGGTGAGAACACCGTGACCGGCCGAGCTTTCCCACGGCGAGGAAACCTCCCGCGGCTGCTCTTTGTGAGCCGCTGCCGCCGGAGCATGGACAAGCTCCGTGGGAGCCATTCACCGGCATCTCCTCCTCCTCCACTTCGGGGTGTCTCCCCCTCCTTTATTTCTTTTTTCCTTTTCTTTTTATTGCCTTGGAAATGCTGCAGCCCCGGAGTGGAGAAAGGCACCTGCCAGCAACTTCAAGGGCGAGGAAGCTTCAGCTTGTAAAGGAGGAGGGACGAGGCGGTCCCCGGGGTCGCCGCTTTCAGCGCTGCGGGGATCAAAGCCGGTGGCCGGAGCACGCTTCACTGCCAAGGGCACCCAGCCCCGAGCCTCAGCGGGACCGGGGCAGCGGGGGGCGTGGGGGAAGCAGAATTATGAAATAACCAATAAATCCACATCAATTTCTGCTCGTATCCGAGCAAAGATGCTCTCACTGCACTCGTGTTCCCGAGTCCCGATGCTTTCATTGCATGCTGCAAGCCTCTGCTGTGCAAGGAGGCGAGCGGTGAAGAGCAACCCATTTTGGGGAGGAAAAGCCCGTTTCCACTATCTCCGCATCTCTCCGAGAGTCTCCTTCCTGCCACGTTGCTGCGACCACGTTAATGAAGCAGGCTCATTAGCCGTGCGATGCTAATGAACCCCGCGGTGGCACTCGGGCAGGCAGGGAGAGGGTTTGTGCACACCAGCGGCGCTGCAGCTCCTCAGGGGGTTCCTACCCCAAACGCCCTCCCCAATCGCTGCCCCCAAACCGAAATAAAAAACATCAAAATCCCCCCACAGGTGCTGGGTGGCTTTGGAAGCGAGTTGTGGCGCGAGCTCCCAGCGCGCTTGTGCTCTCTGCTACTGGCCCTGCAAACCCGCGGGGGCTACACGGCTCCGTCCCACCCAGCACCCCGAAAACCCCGTGTTGGGGTGGGGCTCGTCCTGCTCCCGGGAAAACCGATCCCAAAATTATCGCCCATCGGGTTTGAGAGAGAGGGAAAAGGGGTTTGGTGGCAATTTGGTGGCAGCCGGAGCATCCTCCATGGTGTGGGAGGGAGAAGTCGTGGGGAGAGGTGGAAATGGAGAGATGCTCCCCCGGCAGAGGGGATAAAAAAACAGGAGAAAAAAAAAAAA